GCTTTATTAAAAAAAAAATGTTTACCAAACTATAGATCTATTCATTTCTTCTGCCATAAACATGTTTATATTTATACATACATCTATTTTTGATTGAATGTAATTCATTTCTATATTATTACAGCATCCAAAAAAAAAGTAGCAGAAACTGTCACTACAACAAAATCTAATGATAATACGAAGACAGAGAACGCTATGAGGGACAAAAATGACACAAAAGTGCCCAACGTATCAAATGTTAAAACTAATGTTACCGAGAAAGACAGTGATTATATTAAATATCAGGTTAGTCATGATTTTGAAAATAATTTTGATAAATATAAATAATTCATTTGCATGTTTCAATTTATACAATATATTTTAACGTACTACGAAAATATAACGTTTCTCCTTACTTTTTAGGAACAAAATAACTAAATATTTTTTCTTCTTCCGATTCAATATCACTTATTACCTACCATTAATGGTAGAAAACACGTGTAATATTTTTACATGTATATGTGCATCGCAATCACAAACAAGGTATAAGAATAGATCTGACACCCTATGTATTCTTGTGGTTTGATTTTTTGGGGCGCTGCTGTCCTATTATCATTTCCGTGTCGACCACATCATTAGCAACAGAGCATAAGAATGGGTTTCTGCGCCTAATTCGGTGAGAATCGAAAACAAATGAATTTAAAGCCGATAAAGTTTTTTGGCAAAATAAAATCCTTGATGGATCATTCCATGCCAAAACAATTGAAATATAACGTAATCAAGTCAGAATTAATTAAAAACTCCGAAACTCGCACGTAAGTTTACTCAAAGTCTAAAAGCTCGAGAAATACTCGTCTCCCATTCTTTGCGATATATATACCATTTTTGTAAAAAGAATTTTTTACAACTCAAAGGAAGCAGTCAGTGTTTCATATTCAAATTAAAAAAAAACTCTGTAATATCTATCATCACTTATTTATAAAATAGTATCTACATATTAATAATTAGATAAAAAAATTATATTTATGTTTGTCTACTAGATCTTGTTGACTTAAACACGCGGTGTGTAAAGTACGTGATAACGCATAACAGATAACAATTTAAACAATCCTTAGATCATCAATCGTGAAAATATTCATCTTAATTAATAGTTTTCTAAAAAATTGTCATTGTAAATACTTGCTCATTCTAACAAGATAGCTGTGTAATATATATATATATATATAGTAAGAAAGTTTGTAAATGAATAAGAGATAGGGCCAACAAATAAAACAACATAAAGAATCATGAAGAGGGGATAAAAGATGAAAAAGAAAGAAAGAGAATAGATGGGGGCATATGATATATAGTATGTATTTAATACAACATATGTAATAGTATATAATATGAGATAATCTATGTAATACAATGTAGTAGATATATTATAACATACATATATAATAAATGTTATAGTTGTATTATACAACATACAGTAGAAAACCGGAAGTCATTTGAAACTACAAGGTAGGGATTATAAATAATAGCGTAATAAAAAAATAATGTATTGCATAATTCATTTACTATTCTATAGTTTATGTTATTATGTGTACAACAATATTCGTTTGCCCGTGGATTATAGTTATTTTAATTCATAATTAATTGATTTCAAATAATTAAGAAATTGCGTTCGATTACTCGGAGGTCCGGATGCTCTGATCGAAAAAATTACTTTTCAATGGTTTCTCGTGGAAAGTTTGCAGCTTCTAAGGCATCGGAAAAAAAATATTATTCAGTAGTAACACTGAATAATTTCATGAAATTTTTCATTTAATTTTTCATTTTTACATTTCGACAATGGAACTTTATAATTGTCTACAAGACAAAGGCAAATAAGAGAGATTTAGATTTGAAATCTATTCTCATCAATATTCGTCATCTCATCTGGCCAATTTTCTTCTGAATATATTACAATAAACTAAACAAGAATAAAAAGACCAACTTTTCAATCATACGTCTGTACATATTTTTTTAATAACTCTTATTAATATAAATTACATACTAAGAATACAGAATAAGGATACACAATTTCCGTAATGCCTGGAAAATCGTGTCATTATGCTTCTTATTCACACATTCGTCATATTATCACAATTACAAATATTTACGAATATAAAATAAAATAGTTTCAATAGGATCTGGAGAAAGAAAAGAGTATTAGAATACTTAGAATTGGATAAAAATATCTTACAGTATTGAATTATGGTATAATTATTACTGCATTAACTAGCTTTTTTTTTATTAATGGTAATATTCTGTAATTGTACGGGCTTGTACATACATATTACAGAATCAATGGATTTATTGTTATATAACAATATAAGAAACGTATAGCTCGTATAACTTAGTACTTATGTTTATGTCTATGTTTACGCGGAGATGGAGATGGTGGACTGTTCGCTCTATGTTTCTTGGTACGTGGCGGAGGCGGCGGTGATAATGATGCTGTTCTACCTCTCTTTTTTCTATCATTCCGTTCATTGCCAGGAGATCGGCGAGATACTCTAGATGAAAACGGAGGCGAGGGTGTCCGCCGAATACGTGGCGGCGATGGTGTAACTGGCACTCGTTTTTTATACGGTGAACGCGATCTACGTTTTCCACGCGGTGATCTACTACGAGACCTAAAATAAATATACGTTATTGTATGGTGTCTTAATACCACAGAATGTACAATCATAAAAGCATTATTATGAATTGTTACTTTTTCTTAGAAACCGAAGAAGCTGCACATTGCTTACGTTATTTTTAGAAGTGGAAAGAAAATTTAATTTTCAATCTTATTTTAAATTAAATTATGAATTCTTATCGCATATAATAAACGTGATTTATATATATATTTTTAAATCAATAAATAGGTGTTCAGATAATATTCAATATCAAACGTTATATTCCTTTATATTTCACAAGAATGTTACCAACTTATACATTTTTTATAACGTGTTAAATATATGTATATATTTACCTATATCTGTTACTTTTAGACGAGGGACTTGAAGATCGCCGTCGATCTCGATAATGACTCGGAGATTCTGGAGTAGTACTTCGTTTCTTTTCTCTTCGTCTGTCATCGTCTCGTTCTTCGCTTTTCGCGTCTTTCATTTCTCTTTCACTCTAAAGAAATATTCTCTCGGTAAAGTACACGAGACGAGATTTAACAAATTTTTAAAAATAGTTAGACTTCAAATCTTTACCTTTCTTATGAGCTTTTTTCTGTAATGCTCCACTTGTCCTTGTATTGTCATGCCAGATTTTAATGTTCTCCTACCACTTTCTAATTCATCTTGGTATTGCATTATTTTAACTTCGATTTCGCGCAATCTGCTTCTCCTTTCCTCGTTATAATCTCTGCCACTGTGAAACCACGTTAATTAATTTAATTTGTTAAATTTATACTTAACAACACAACTAAAAGCATTTATGTTACCTGGAATCCATACTAGTGTCCTGAGAATTGGAGTCATCGTTTTGACCTAACTCTTCCCATTTACTAGTCGTCATGGCTTGTGCTTCCACCTAATGTCGAGCCATTCATTTTAGTGGATTAAGAAATTTCAAGATCATTATTTCAATAATGTTCTCCCACCTGGTCAGGATCTACAGTTTCCCATCGAGATGGCACAAAACCTGCAGGTATCGATGGTTTCTTTTCGTCTTCCTTATTTCGGATGTTTAAAGAGTCTTCGTCATCCATTGGAACACCATCGATATCTTCGTCCACTAAAAATATAAGTGTATCGAGTGTTAATACACTGTAGTTGTAAATGCAACACACGAGATACAAAAATGAAAGAAAATGGGTGTTAATATTGTAAGAAATTGAATGTGTAATCATGAGGATTTTAAAGAATCTCACTGGGAACACCATCAATATCGTCATAATTAGATGTTGTTTGTGGAGTTAGACCGTGTTTCATAGCACCCTTAAGGAGAGCCGCTCCGTCTAATGGTACCCCGTCCAGATCTTCCGCACCATCTCCATCCACATCCGACAATGGTGCACCGTCAATATCTTCATCATTTTCTGGCTCAGGTTCATCCATCTAAAAGCATACAATTATTCCTGTCCTCCTTTGTCGTAATATTCAATAAAGAACATCTTCGTCATCGTATAAAAGATATAATTTACCAAAACAAGACCTAGAAAAGTGTTCTGTAATTTAACAAGAAAATCTCGTGAATAAACTGCCCAATCTTCCCATGCTCTAAACATTCTCATTACACGAACTTTAAATCCTTCTGCTTTTAATCTACTATCAAATTGCTTATAGGCTTGATGAACTTCACTAAATATATCCAATAATCGGGTTTCAAACCTATATTATAAGCAAGTTTCATAATATTAAATTTCTGGACTACAACCATATATTAATGATAATATATATATATAATACCTATGTATATATAATTAATCAAATCATATATTGTTTTCTAGTTGCCTGTATTTTTAATTAAAATGACTTACGCTTTTCGATAAATAGTAGCATTATTTACTTTAACGCCACAGTTATGTAATATATCTGATATAAGATACAATCTCGCAATTTTCTTATTTACAGGAGTTTGTAATATCGATAGTGATTCTGAAATACAATCACAAATCTCTTCCGCTGCTTCTGCATGCTCTATACAAAATACCATTGCTTCTGCAACTTTTATTCTTTCAGGTGATATGTTTCGCAACAAATCTTCTAATCGATCACGCTGACTATAAATATGAAATGTTTTATCAATCAAATATTGATGTTATTTAATGGAAGTGGTGACATAGTGAATTATAATATAATTCTTTACTTTACAGAGATTTTATTATTATTACCTGTTCGATAAGCTACCTCTTCTAGGTTCTTGTCTTTCTTCCATCTCGATCAATTCATCGGGCATTCCTTGTGTCCACGGATTGATTGGCGGCGGTCTCCATACGCTACCTCCTTTAAACAT